AGGAAGCGGTCGACGCTCCTCGAAGTCGGAATCAATTCAAGAAGTTCCAAAGGGCCAGCCTTGCTGATTAGGGGGAACATGTTCTGCCATGGAAGCTCGCCCCGAGTTATTTCACCGTACCCAAAAGAGATAAAATGGATGGCATCTGTGGACACTTCTTCGTCCAGCACATTGACAGGCGGGGTGCCAACACTACACAGCGTCAGTGAGTCTTCATCGCCATGACTGGCGAGCAGAGAGCGGCGCCCTAGCCGGTCTCTCCCATAGTAGACGGTTGAATGAGGAGCATCGTAGAAGACAAAGGCAAAAGGCCCGGCTATGTTTGTCAGCGCTTGAGCAATGCGCTGCTGGTAGCCACCGCTTTGAGCTGAATGAGAGGCACGCAAGAGAAGATCAAAGATCTGCACCGAGTCATTTCCTTCCACTCTGACTCCATCCAGTTTCCACGCCTCGCCATTCCAGCAGAGGATGGACCCTGAATCGCGGTCCTGGAGGGGTTGCCTCTGGATAGAATCTCCCCGTAATGCTAGGACGGAAGAAACAAATGTGAGGTGAAATTCGTCCAATCCCGGAGTCGGAAGTCTGACATCCAGCTCTCTGTAACTGTCTGGCCCCCGTGCGCTGAGCTCGTCTACCGTGAGAGAATCGGGCAGAATAGGACGGTGTTTTGCAACCGAGAAGAAGATGCCGCACATAGGGCTGTGACGGCGGATGCTGCCCCTTCGGAATACTAGGTGCCTGTGCGCTGGACGCGAAGTAAAAGAGCTGGAGAGCAGGATGATTATGGATGAAAAAGAAACTTGGCCGCGAAACACATGTGACCGTGCCAAGAGATACGTGTGGCTGACCAATCAGAAGCCTGATAGGCCCGATCCACGTCAACGTGCCCACCAAGCCACATCAAACCTTCGGCTGCAAGCAGCTGCATGGTGCCGCTCGGGAAACTCAACTGCCTGCGCCTGCGTTGGCGGCCTTGCAGTATCTCCGACGTTATCCATTATGCACGGCTGAGGCTGTCATCCCAATCCTTGAGGAAGGGCATCAGACGAGTTGCACCTTCACCAGAGGAGCGTCTTCGACCTTGCTCGTGAAATTGCCCGCTCCTCTCCTTTTCACACGCTCCTCCTTTCTCGGTAAAGTGACCGACCTCCTCTTCCCGTCGCGTGACGCTTGTCAGCCTGCCCATCATTCATGATGAACCAACACTAGATCGGCGATCCTACGAGTCTTGAATCCGACGTCTTGAAAGCATGCCACAGATCCTGTCACCCTGTCAACGCCTACGATAAGACAGTTGTCAATGTCACCCAACAGCAACCATGCAGCCATGGATGCCAGCAAGAAAGCCGTTTCGTCGGAAACCCCCTCGCCTAGCCTCGTAGACCTGGAGCCAGAAGGGAGTGACGCTGCTACGGAGCCCAAGGTCTCGAAGGATGCATTTTCAGAAAAAGGAAAGGATCCAGAACTGGACGTGACAGACAGGATACCAGATCTCCGAATCGATGATTCCAAGACTAAGAGCAATCATGTCCTTCCACCGAAACTTCTTCCATCCACGCCTCCTCCACCTGAACCCCCCGCTGAGAGTGAAAAGCCGTACCTCGACCCTACTCCCAAAACCCCCGCGATATCGAGGCATCCATCTATGAGAGCGTCAGGTGAAGAATATAATGAGAAAGATCCGGCTTATAATCAGGAGTCTCGGGACAATACGGGGGAAACGCCTTACCAGAAGTCCAGCAATGACCCTGACGTGGACTCGACGTCCGAAATACAGAGTATCATAGATCAATTCGATGACGTGTCGGCAGCCCCTTCGAAGGAATCAATCATGTCTCCCCGACACGAAATGACCGGGCCTATTCTAGGATCGGGTGGCAGTTTTCCGCCCAGAAGGTCAAGCCTGGAACCACTTCGATCTAGAGACATGGACACGTTGGCATCGCCGATAATCTCCTATCATACAGAAAAGCCTTTGCCGTCGCCGCCTTCGGGGGTTCTCAATCATGAGTCAGGTCCGCTGAGAAGTCCTCCGATGAAAAGTCCGGCCCAAGCCTCGTCGCCCTCGCATCCGATGCAACCACCTCCTCCCGAACCTGAGCCTGAACTGCCGTTTGATTTCCACCGATTTCTGGAGCAGCTGCGGCACAAATCTGCCGATCCAGTGGCCAAATTCCTACGCTCCTTCTTGACCGAGTTTGGAAAGAAGCAATGGATGGTCCATGAACAGGTCAAGATCATTGGTGATTTTCTAGCCTTCATCACGAACAAAATGGCTCTTTGTGAGGTATGGCGGGAAGTGTCTGATAATGAGTTCGACAATGCCAAAGAAGGGATGGAAAAGCTTGTGATGAACAGGTTATATTCGCAAACATTTTCTCCCGCAATACCACCGTCTCCTCCGGTCGCGCGATCACGGTCCAGAGGAAGAAAGAAAGAGTTAGAAAAGTCCCTGATCCCGGGCAGACGCGGTCAGCATCAAGAAGACGTTGAACGAGACGAGATCCTCGCCCAAAAGATACGGATTTACAGCTGGGTGCGAGAGGAGCATCTAGATATAGAGCCAGTCGGGCCAAATGGGGAGAGGTTTCTCAGACTGGCACAGCAGGAACTCCTCAAAATCAAGGGGTATCGAGCACCTAGAGACAAAGTCATCTGCGTCTTGAATTGCTGCAAGGTGATTTTTGGCCTTTTGAAGAATGCTAAGAGCTCCGACACTTCGGCAGATTCGTTCGTGCCGCTTCTCATCTATGTTGTCCTTCAAGCTAATCCGGAGAACCTTGTGTCGAATGTCCAATACATTCTTCGATTCAGGAATCAGGACAAGCTTGGGGGTGAGGCGGGCTACTACCTCTCCTCCCTATCAGGAGCGATACAGTTTATTGAAAGCCTAGATCGGACGACCCTGACAGTCAGTGATGAGGAATTTGAACGCAACGTGGAGAATGCTGTGGCAGCGATCGCAGAGCACAATCGTCAGGCTGAGCAACTTAGCCCGCTTGCCGCGACTATTGCAGAGAAATCAGCACTTGCCGAGCCAGAGCTCACACCACGAAATTCAATGGATGTGACATCCAGCAGCCCTATACGCAGAGATCCTAATCGGCAATACAGCAGCTCGGGAGACGGCTCCGACGACAGCGTAGCAGGTCTTTTGCGGACCATCCAGAAGCCTCTCTCCACAATCGGACGAATATTCTCTGACCAGGACGCATCATCTCAAGAACGCAGACCGAGTCCAGCGCCTCAAGCGGCTCCGAGGCTGACCCCGAACATGTTTCAACCGCCACCAGCTCATGGTGGCTCGGTACCTCCTTATGACGCCCAGGAAGCGGCTGCGAGACAAGCAAGCGCGGAAGCGGCGGAAGCTCGACGGATATCAAGAGCCGAACATAGGACTGTGGTCGAGACCCTATGCGGCATGTTTCCAAACCTAGACAAGGAGGTCATTGATGACGTAGTGCGGCAAAAGGAAGGAAGAGTGGGACTTGCTGTCGATGCTTGTTTGGCTCTGACAGCTGGAAGTTGAGTCTGAGGACTACCAGATGCCATCGAAATCTTCAAAGAAAGGAAAAGAGCTCACATGAGCCTGCTCGCAGGGAGAAGCCGCAAAAAGGAGGTAGCTTCTGAGTTGAGAGAGGGACTATAGGCTTCCTCTTAGCTAGTAAGTGCTCCTCCAAGCATGGCGTCCTCTGCAGGGTTAACGATGATACCTAGATGCACCCACGCTTCGCCCCGTGTTTATAAGTCGGTATCCGTTGCAAGACGCTAATCTCCACCATCGGCGACATTGGCAGAAAGAGCGCGTCATCCAACTAGATTGGCCGTGTCGTTCGATGGTTGCACGGTTGTCGTTGAGCTTGGGGAATTTATTTGACGGACGGGGCGAGCCCTGACGAAGCCACAATGGTTACCCGGTATCGGATGCCGATCCTTTTGCTATAGCCACTAATGGGCGAAGGGTATCTACAGATGGATGGGCAAGTAGAGAACAAAGAGAATGCAGCCTCAAGCGAGCACAACATCCCATTTTCAAGTTTGATTCGACGCCGCACTTGTGCTTTCAGCCTAATAGCTTTTCCTGTTCTGACTCCTAGCCGGGGCGGTCTCCGTCCCTGTTATTCTTCGACATGTTTCCGCCAGACCATCCCGTGCATGGCCGTCTCGACCCTGGGTCCGCCAGACTACATGAATCTTCCGTGCACAAAAGAAAGTGAAACCCAAAACTGCATTGAAGAGCTATACCGAGGTGTTGTCTCCTCGCAAGAGCCAGCAGGCAGCCACGTCTAGCACAACACAACACACCACAGCATGCCGAGGACAGGAGCCCGGTTGTTTCTGACATTGCTCGCAATGACCGGCCTTATTTCTGACCTTACTCTCTCCCCCTTTTTTTGGTGACTTCTGGTTGGAACAGCGGATCGGTTTCCCCGCCTCCTGTGTCGTTTTCTGGTTTAATTATTTTCTGATGGCCGTACATATATTCGAATATAGTATAGTATATCTCGTAGCGAGGCGGGGTGCTCTTTCTGGTTATTTTCTGATGCCGTATGTTCGAATATAGTACCACTAATAGCGAGACGGGTGGGTTTTTTTTGGGTCAGCGGGTCGTCTCGTCTGGTTAAAGGGCCGGGGACTCTTGTTCGCATTTGTAGATACGGGGAACAAGGTCGCGAGAGGGACAGAGGAGAGCGCGGGGAGAAAAAGGGCGCCCTGTCCCCATATTCAATTTTCATTTCCATTTCCAATTCCAATTCCGATCCGCGTTTCTTCTTTTGTCTTGTCCTCGTTGTCGTGGTCACCTCCCGGTCTGGAAGGGCATGGTAACGAGACTCTGACTCCCGGGGGAAAAAAGGACATAAAAGAAAGAAGGGTTATCGATCGGTGTTCACACCCACCTAAGCGAGTTCTCTTTTTCCCTAACCTCCTGCGTAAAGACAGTTCGTCTCTCTCTCTTGTCTCCTAGCCTCCCACGTCCAAAGCCATCTCACCGCGCGAATATGGTTCAAGATCCAGCCTCCTCCAATGCGGCCATAACGGCGATTGTCATCGTTCCGGGCTCCTTCTCACCCGCATCGTTCTATACCAACGTAGTCGACGCGCTCCACGCACACGGGTACGAAGCTATTGTGCAAACCCTTCCTTCCTCGTCCCGCTCACCCCTCAACGACGAGAGGCCCGCGACCATGGAAGAAGATGCGGACCTCTTCCGCCAAATCGTCCAGGATCTCGCGGATCAGGGAAAAGACGTTGTTATTGTGACGCACTCGTATGGAGGCATCCCGGGGACGGAGTGCTCAAGGGAACTCTCGAAGGCGAAGAGAAGAGCGATTGGCAAGGAGGGTGGGATTTCGAGATTCGTATATGTAACCTCGGTGGTGCCCACGCCAGGCAACTCGTTGAAAGACCTTATGGGAGACCTGGTTCCGTCTTTTCTCCAAGTCGAGGTGAGTGTGAGAGTGTTTTTTGCGACTGCGACTTCAGGTTCCTCGCACTGTTCTCCGGGATGGCCTTATTCGACTGGCTGACTGATCTGCGTCGGAACAAACCAGGGCGATTTCATGAGCCACGTCATCGAAGAGAGTGCAAAATTGACGTTCTCGGACTTGCCGTTTGAAGAAGCAAAGGAGTGGGTGAAAAGGATGCCATACCACTCGGCTCTTAGCTTTGACGGCAAGCTCACGTACCCCGGGTACAATCATATTCCGGTCTCGTTCATCATTTGCGAGAAGGACGTGATTCTACCACCGGAATTTCAGCGCTCCGTGATCGACGGCATTGAGCGGGAGAGTGGCAAGAAGGTAGACGTGCATATGTTGAATACCGGACACTGTCCCAATGCGAGTGCTCCGGAGGATCTTGCAAGCGTCATCATCAAGGCAGTACTGACAGCGGCTTGAGTTGTTCAGACAGGGGAGGGTGCTTGCCCGAGTCAAGGGGTTTGACGATGATTTCTAGTAAAACAGATAGCCCCATTTCGCTGAAAACTCCTTCCCAATCTTCCATGCGGTGGGATCCCAGGACGCAGCACCGGGATTCAGGGTAAAGCTCGTCAGGCAGAACAAGTCGGCAAGAAATTCCTCCTCATTAATGATGCCCATCAGCGTGATCATGTTGTCTCTCATTTTGGGAAACGGGAACCGGTCAATCCAAGTAGGGTGAATAGTGGTCAGTTGCAAAGCTGTAGGACGCAAAGACTCTGGGATTTCGGGCCCAACGGGGCTGGATTTGCTGGGGACGACTACGGAGCATGCTATTCCCATCTTTTTTTTTTGTCAAGATAGAGCGGCTCGGTCAGCCGTGGCCTGACGCGAAAGAAACCATGAAGACACAAACAAAGCCAGTTCTGGGCGACCCCGTCCGTGCCAAGAAGAGAACTTACCATTGCACCGTTCTGATATAGAGCTCCGTAGATGGATCCGGAGACAGAAGTGGTTACAAAGGTATCTGGCTTGCTCGTTGGTACAAGCGCCTGATACAATGCGGGAAGTCGAGGCACTTTGGGTACAAGGCACAGCGAGTCCTCTTGGTTGCTGCTGCTGCTGCTCGGTGAGGGGCCTGAGTTGCCGTCGCAGTCTCGACTGTCGGGACACAATGCCTCGACCGACTTTCTGGCCTCCGCTAGGCGTTTTCCTATATCGGAAATTCGTCAGTCCAGGCGTCGACCAATTGTGTGGCGAGAGTGGTTGATTGTAACGAACTCCTTGCTCGCTGGGCCAGTCTGTCCTGGATTTGCTTCCTCTTCCGCGGATCCTGGACACCAAACCAGTTGTCGTCTTCAGCTCGTGCTCTGCCCATACTGAGGGGGAAGGCTCTTGGGTGCAGAGGACAGGTTGACTAATCAGTGCAAGGGAGGGCGAGAATATTGCGGGCAATGCAAAGAGCATGGGGCGTTTCGTCCTAGTGATAGGGTTCGTCGAAACGATATAATCAGAAAATGGGATGAACAGGGAGGGTTTGGGTTCTGTCTCCGACGCTTGGCCTTTAGGTGCCTCTACTGGTTAGAGTGAGACTAGCTCGTCCAGTCGACAGATGAGGATGGGAGTGCTGGCATAGACCATGGTGTTGAGATGGGTTTTGTGTAGGGGAGTGAATGGTGTTGTGCGTGGTGTGTTGCTAAGCTGGGGAAGCACTGTAGTCACTGCACCTCTTGGTAGAGTTCGTTATTACTAAGTTAGTTGCTGCCCCTCCCTAAATTCTGACTTTGCTCGCTCCCATACACAGGTTATTCTGACATTGAGAAATGGAGCCAAACGTTATAGTCGAGGCTCGGAAGAACCACGCTGTATGAAGTCGACATTCCCATCAACTCCTCTTACCTAAACATCCGGGCTTGGATTCACCCAAGCAAGACCCGTGGCCACCTTCTCAACGACACCAGCAAGTCAAGGCTTCATCTGCCTACCAGTCTCCCTCGCGCCCCTCTTGGTCCTAGATCATGTGGTTCGAAAAATCAAAGGGGAGAAAAGGCTGCCAGACCGCGCTTCAGGGTTTAAACTGGCCTCCGGAGAACAGTGCGTTTATAACAAGGCTGATAAGGAAGGGGACATTGAAAAGTCTGGGGCTTGAAGCCTGCTCTTGCTATTCTCTCCGATGCGTCTTCGACACGTGCGCCCGCGTTCGGATCCGAAGCGTCAACGGTCGTCGGTCAAGTTGGTGGTGGGGGTTGGCCTAGGGTCGACTGGCCGGAAGCTGGATAGTGGGCGGACTGCCCGCTGCGTTTGGCGAGGCCTTGCAGCTTCCCGCCTAGACGACTGCAGGCACGGCGGGCGTTAAAATTTGAGAACCCTGAGAGAAAAAGTCAATCTAGATCGACATCCAGGACGAGAGGTGCGGCGATGCCATCGCGGATAGGCTTCTCGAAACGAGAGGGAATCCAACACTTGAGATGCGGGATCGCGATGGCCACTGCCAGCAGCCTTGATACGAGCCTGGGGCAAACTGATCGACTCCTCCAACGGGGAATCCCTTTGGGCCGTGTGTCTTCAACTCTGGTTTGGCATTTATCTTGTTTCTTGGAAAGCCTGGGCTCTCCTGACACCCTGATCGCCACCCCCGGATGCAGACTCCTCAAATCCCACCCCAGAGGGGTTCCTGAAAAAGATGGCGTTTGAGCCTTTGATTCTAAGGTTTGGACGGGGATTTTACGGAGTCTCCATGTCTTTGGGAGGTCGCCCCGAAGCAACGCCGTCATGTTTCTTCTGCAGAGCCTTTCCCTTGTTTGTCGACCGCTCTACCATCCTCCGTTGGCTCATTCGTCAGCTTACTCTCACTAACTTTGGTCGCTATTACGCTCTGGCTCAGTGAGCACCATCTGACGTGGAGCAGTTTGCCTCCAGCTTCTGGCAGCAGAGGCCAGCCCCTGGAGCCCCGGAATAATTGGCCCAAGAACATTTCTCCCCTCTTCCGATGCTTACTAGGTATGCTCCTCTGGCTATGTCCTGGCAATGCATCAAGTTCAAGCCCTATTTCCGACTCGGTCCGAATGGCATTGCACATGGGCTGGCCCCCTTGTCTACGGCCGGTGGGAATGAGCATACTTAGATTAAGTATTATTGAAACCCTGGTGACGGGAACCGGCAAGAGCACAGCCTCTAGTTCGCTAGTTTGGACCTCCTGCTATAAACCCTTTTCCGTCCTTCTCTTCTATTTCTCCCCCAGCAGCATTGGAATCCTTTGCCGTCTCCCATATCCGAAATATACTGTTCTTGACTAGTCATCGGGCCTATTCCAGCGTCAAAGCAAGTCCGGCCGTTGGGATTGTATATCTCGAGTCATTCTGGGCATCATGTCTTTTGTTGACCTTCTCTTTCCCCAGAAAGAGCTGGAAGCTCTGGGAAACAAATGGCATGAGCCAGCTCCCAAGAGGAGGAGGCTGGATTCGGGGAGTGTTCAGGTTGTCAATGAGTCTTTTGGACGTCAGCAAAGACAACTCAGTGAGCCGAGCTTGGAACAACGGCGCCATCGGTTGTCGACCCCGGCACCAATTCAATATGGAAGGCCATCCTCATCGTTTGAGGATATCAAAATCCGCGGCACCAAGAGGGCGAACTCGGAATCTCAACCCCTTAGCCACGCACCAAACGTGAGTAAGCAGACAACAACGACCAAGTCCTGCTTTCCGAGCTTCATTGAGCCGTCTATCTTGAGGAACTACCTTCATCATCTCCATCCCAAGGATCGCCATCGCTATACCGTCTCCGATGTGCCCAACCGAGAATCGAGACCAAGGGACACGACATCTCAGATGTCTCCACCCAATATCATTGAGGACGCCCTATCTTCTCCAGGATCTCTAATTACCGACACATCGTCCTCTCCTGCTTCCTCGGACAGTTGCCCAACTCCCGCCGCCATTTGTGAACAATTCCGTTCTGGGCCATTTGGACACCTGTTCAATGGAATGCGCCTAACAGATAATGAGCGGGATCTGATGGAAGATCTCCTGAATCCATCAACAACGCTTCCCGAGGACGAATCACACGCCCTGTCGAACAAGGAGGCAACTCCCCGAGTGGAACTTGCACCTGAAGACTACTTGGCGATTGACGAAGCATTTCTCCAAAATATGTTCTCTCCATTCGGAAAACACATGGATCAGCCCTTTGACTTTGCAGTCAATGAATCGACCAATGCTGAGGAAGAGTATGATGTGCACTCATCGGGTTTGAGTCCTGCGGCTGAGGAGACAGAGGAGACAGAGGAAGTAGCCGCGGAAGAGAAAACCACGAGTCACAGGGGGATTGTGGTGTACGACTACAGCGCCCTCAGTGTTGACGATTTCTTCGATTTGGACGAAGCTTCCTCTTCCTAAGGCTTTGGTTGCCGAAGGATGGATTGGCGGGTTTTGATAATGGGGGGATGTACATGGCATTGCGTGTTCCAAACCCACCTACTGCATACTGGTCTATAATCTTACTGAGCAAATGTTCAAAATCACCGAATGTATCTCTTTTAGTCTAAATGATACCAGATGATGATCACCGAACGGTAACCTCTTGTTCCTTCCTTTCACATGCATTTCGTGAATTTGTTGATTGGCGTGCTTTCCATCGCGATCCTGCCGGAATCCTCCTTGACCTGAATCATCCCAACCAGCTCTTCAATGCCGGTGTTTGATGTCACTCTACACTCAATGTCCAAGACTTCTGCTACAGACAAGAGTGCAGGTTTACTTTGGCGAACAAAGATGGGGTGCATCTTCCGGCTTGTCCTGAGCTCGGCCGTCCTGAATAATCGGAAGGGAACTTGAGATCTGACCTCACTTTCTTACCACGGGCGACGGTGACATGTGCTTCTCTTGCTGTTTGCGTGGCATATCCGAATCCCAGTGTCAAGGTCCAAAGACCTTTCCAACGTGACTTGCAACAAATCCTTGAGCCTGACAACATACTGCAAATCTCACGCCTCACCGTCCGAGTGTGGTCGACGTTTCCCCCAACAGAAGCGTTCAAGGATTGGCGGGGATTAGCCGCTAGACAGTGCCCGGATATGATACCCACGGGGACTCCATCAGCACTAGACGATAGGGTCAGGCATCAGCAACTGCGGTGAAGTCGATAGCCGCCATACATCTGTAGCGGACCACCAGCGTTGTGAGCAAAACAGCCATGTCCTACGCCCCGCTGCCGAATACTACGATGAATCTCGCTGTGACTTGTGACTGCAATACTGATTACAGAGTCTCCTCTTACGTACGAGCCCGCAAACACAGCATGGATTCTGATATTACGACCGACTTTCTCAGCCAGAAAGGCATCGGCGATGAGCAAGCTATACGAGCATCGTCCCGCCCTTCCCAGATTGATAATCGAACTTATGACGACGTGATGATCCAACATAAAACGTTGGGAGGCCAAGTGTGAACGGCCCGTGGGAAAGAAGTCGCCAAAGAGCTAGGGAATACGGAATAAGCGTCAATGCCTCATCGACCTTTCCACCGGAGCAGCCACCACATACTAGCATAATCACGGCAGAGTGCTGAAGGAGACAAATTGATGCACGATCTGTTCCTGTTCAGAGCACGACCCACTGGCATATAGCCGCGGCTACTTGATCTTCTCCCTTCAATAAGTCGATCCAATCCGCGATCCCTGGAAACTAATCCATGTGGCGCCACTCACGCCTAGAGGCCTTTTCTTACCTACTCGGTAGATCGCATCGGATCCGACCTCTGGCCCTTGCCAGCCACTAGCTGCCACCGCATGCATGGAAGGAAGGCTTTGCTGCCCGGACCGACGAACGACTCCACGAAGATAGATAGAAACAGAGCGGTCCGGCTGCAAACGGATCGCCGTGGTTGGCTGGCTGACCGGCCCATGACACGATGGCGTCTGCTTACCTCGAGCCGTGGCTATTGCTCGACAAATCGCTCAACTGCGCTTTCTATTGCGTCCCGCGCTTCCCGACGCTCCCTGGTCTGGTTAGATTCCTTCAAAATTTTTTGATCAGCGACCACCACTACCAAGACAGCGAGAGCAAGAAAAAAAAATTAGAATTATGCACAATCACATCCGAGCCTCGCATGACTTAGCTGAGTTTCCGTGCTGCCGTGCTCGTGCAAACATAGAGAGCGACATCTGAGACCCTATCGGCTCGTTACTTCCGACCGAGTACTCTGTATTGGATCATCCATCGTATTCAGTGCGCGAGGAGGGGGGGGGGGCTCAGAAGACACTACCCATTCCGGTTCGTGCAATTTCCCTGGATCTTTCAGAAGGTGAGAACGGAAACAGAACACAAGGGTTGTCGACGCGCACTACGAAGGCAAGGGGAGGGAAGGAAGTCAAGAAGTCAGTCCACACGTTGTCTGACCTAGGCTGATTTTGCCTTGTGTTTGATCGAGCCTGCGAGAACAATACTTACTTACGAGTAGTGTGTAGGATCTATTTTGCTTCCTCACCGGGCGTCTTCAAAACCAGAGAGAGGGGAACCCATTGGTTAGATGGGATGGAGCCACTTGCCTACCGTAGTGATCGCTGATTAGTTTGGAAAGGAGATCACTAACTCGCTCACCAATTCACCGCTGATGTACTCGGTACTCCATCTGGAGTCCACGTACGGAGTGCTTTGTAGAACGAACCCAGAGACACGTTCTCCATATCAATCTTCGTATTTTGCACCCACATCCCGTCCGCGTAACCTCCACATCAAACAGCAGAAACTAGCTTACTGATTAGAGTAAAACACAAAGAAAAGGTTCAATGATCGTAGTACTCGTACGGAGTACCAGCTAGTTGTGGCCTCCTGCATCGGAACGATATATCCGGCGGAGGAATTCAGACGGACGGAACGACGCTCGGCGTAGAAATAGAATACCATACGGAGTATTCTAGTTGGACTATTGCCCCGACAGAATGGAGAAGGGGGGAAAACAACGAGAGGAAGAAATATTCATTTCGCCAGGTCCCGGTGACGCACAGAGTACGGAGTGCTTCTACAGGTATACCTCGTACCAGCAGACAGACAAGGACCGAACAGGTAAGTGCCTACCCGCATGGATACGAAGACAGGACCGGGCTACAGGGCATTGTAGCGACCAACCTAACCAACCAATCAGCCAACTATATAGAACTGAGCGGATAACCAAGTCACTAGCCCCTTCCTACCTACTCCTTCCAACTTCCCTGGCCTGCTCGAGTCGTGATGCGGGCACTGCGTAAGTGCGGCCCGTACAGTGCACACACGGTTGGTTACAGAACTAACCCAACTCGTTTTGTTTACATGGGACTCTAGCAAAGCTACATCGAGGACAGGCACCCCACACCACGGTGACAATGGAGGATTCTTGTATGGAGAAAATCTTACATGGAGTACGAGGTACCGTATTACGGGGGGGTGTTGCCTACGGACGATGTACATACTACACAAGGCGAGCACAAGGGGTAGGGTCAAGGGGGGGAGATGAGGGTCATTGGGTGGTGCATCAGGGGCTCTACAGCCTCGTGCCATCCAGCGCAGCTGTGGGGCACTGACTTTGGACGCAAGGCTCAGCCTGCTTCCCCTTTCTTCCTCCTCCTCCTCCCACCCCTTGTCGGCGAGATGTCCGGACATTTTCACCTACCATGTCACCAATGTGCCCTACTTGTGCATAATCGACACCAGATGCGACATCGATGCCTCTACCAGGCAAAGGCCGGATGGGGCCAATGCGTATTCACCCATTCATTCACTCGAACGCAGGACGTCCCAGCCACCACAAGCCTCCCCCCCCTGTTGACTTTATTTTTCGCTTCCTATTACGTCCCATTGCCCGCCACAAGCCATCATCGGCTCCGCCTCTGGGCGATGCATCCGTGGAGGGCAGGCTTGCATTAGGTATTGCCTCCTAAAGAATCTTGATCGATTAGCGCAATCAGAAATAGATATGGTATATGTATATGGATGGTAAGTTAATGGGGAGATCACTAGACGAATGGCCACCCTTGCTGACCAGCTCACCCCGTCCACGGTCTTACGAATTTGACTCCATTTGTTCTCTCAGCATGCCTTTCTTTTCTTTTCTTTTCTCACAGTTCATCCAGTAGGGACAGGAAGATACGCGCAAAGCCGCCCCATCTTCTCTCATCTGCACGGAAATCGATGAGGAGCACGGCTCCATCGGCTCCGCTCCTTCTCCATTACGGCTTGTCTGTGCACGGAAGACAACCAATCATTGACCGACGTCCGTGTTTGTACCTTCTAAATGTCCTCCCAAAGTTCGTTGTTCGTTGCTCGTCAAAACAACTAGCTTCCTAACCACATAGTCAAGGTCCACATGCCATGCATTTTCACATAACTCTCAGCCAGACATCTAACCCCACCGATCATCCCACGTCCCATGTCTTCTAGCTGTCGTCCTCCTTGCCACCGTGACTTCAATCTGACCTGACCCAGGCCCCTGGCCCTGGCTCTGGCCGGAACCAGGCCTCGAGCCTGCTATGCTGCTATTGCTGTGAGAATTTCGGCTTTGATTGATACTGCTAGAGTGTGCGTGTCTCGCTTCTCTCCGTGCTCTCTGTTCTGACACAGGAGTCGATGCTCCAGGCGTGCTTCCAGCACTGCTTTGTCCTTGATACGTTCTTGTGCTGGTTGCTGAACCCGAGTCCTTGTCCGTCGATCCCCTGGCTGACCCAACGATGCTCTCTCGTGTACTTTGGCGTGACAGACGGTGATGTCCTACCACGCCTGGGGCTACTGTCGACTGGCGAGGAAGCCTGCTTTTATTCACCGTCATCTCCGTCACGACACTGGCTGTGTTTGCTCGCGTGAGGCTGGGCATGACAAATGCTGGAGAGTTCTCGCGCACGTACGTCGAACCGTCGCGACTGGCAGGCCGCATCACGCTCGTACCATTGACATACACGCCGTTGCGCTGTCGTCGCGGCGTCTGCGCGACAGGAGGATCATACATGTTCATGCTGGCTCGCTCCGAGCGGCCTAACTGAGGAGAAGTAGGCATGCTCATCTGACGGTCGAGGAGATGAGGTGGCGTCGTAGAGCTGGTACGGCGTTGGAAGCCAGGATGCTTTCTTCGAGCACCGTTTGTCGCCGAACTACCACCCTGCCCACTTTTAATGCTCACGTTATCAGTCTCCTCGCATGATCGGATGAGTTCGCTGGCCATGCTGCGGACAAGGACCGCAGAATCAGAATATGAAAGTTCTCTAATCACATCGTAGAGACCGTACTGGTCGAGGAGGAAACAGCCTTCTTCTGTCGAGTCGCAGATGCTGCCGATGATACGCAGGAGGTTGAGACGGATTGCGGGCTTGTTGTGACTTAGCTTTTGGCCCAAGGTGTCGAAAATTTGCGAGCTTCTCGCCATCGATGCTG